TATATATATATATATATATATATATATTTCTCAGATTCCGGATTATATTTTCTCTATGAATCATCTATATATTACAAAATATTATTTTCAATATATTATTATACATCCCAACATATTACCTTGCAGAATCCCCTTCCTAATCCCTTTTTTTTCACCCATTATCTCTCTTTGAACAATGTACCTTCTTTTCATTCTTGTTTGTTTCCTGTTCCTCTTTATTTTTTGGTCCTTTCTCTTAATTCCCTTTCCCCCCATTCTTATTCCCCTCCTTTTCTCATTCCAGTTATTAAACTTTTCTGTCTCCCTCTTTTGATTTTTCCTTTGCATGTCCTTCTTCTGCTTTTCCCTTCTCTTTAACCATTTTCCAAACCATTCTCCCTTTTATCATCCCATCAGACCACAAATTTTTAATTCTAATTCCTTTTCCTCCCTGCTTAAATAATTGTTGTTCATTTTGTTCTTCTAAGTTGGCTTCTTCTTTATAGAACTTCTCCCCCTCTGGTTTATTGTGTTCTTGTGTATGCTGAGTCACCATTTCTAATTTCTGTAATACATAATTACACATTTCAAGTTTGATTTTTATCATGTCCCTTGTATCTTGCATATCTCATATAGCTTGTGAATCAAGTCTTATATCAACAAGTAGCTCCTCCATTATATCTTCTCCCTTTTTCTTTTTCTTTCCTCTTCCTTAATATTTGAAATCCTCTTCTTTGATAGATATATTCAATTCCAGAGTCCAGTATCTTATTTCAGCCAATACCTTTTGAGTTTATTTTCAACAATTCATACTCTTTGAGTCTTTATTCCAAATCTTCTAATTGACCTCTCAACTGTTTCCCAAATTATCAGGTAGTTCTATGACAATAATAAAGTTCCTTTTATTTTCTTTCAAGTTCCAAGATCCAAACTCTCAAAAAGACCAGACACTCATTTTAAAACGGACTAAAGTTTTCCTGCACCATCAGGTGGCGCGCTTGAGTCTTTTTCTTTTAACTTTCTTTATTGAATATAATATTTTTATTAAGTTCGCTAATTTCAATCATTAGCTATTCTTTTCAACACACTCAATTCCAGCATTTAGTTATGCCCTAAGTGCCCACAGTTCAATACATGTCCAGTTTAATTTTTAATCCTTTGTTTTGTTAATGTATTTTCCTTTAAATTTCTCCTCCAAATTAGTCCAATAGAATAATCAAATCCAAATTTAAACACCAATTTCTTTCTCAGTTTCTCTGGTTGCCGCTTCCACACACTTTCCTCCAAAATAGCCCTTTAATTTGATACCGGGGTACCTCAAAAGCGATGTCCTTTGCCTGATTCATACTCTGCTCGCTACTTCTCTCTCCAGCACAAAACTTAGTTTCCCGGAGTGTTCTTTGTCTTTGTGGTGGCCATTTTGGGACCACAGCTGCAGCTTGCCTTTGGGAGGGATTTTCCTGTTAGGGAGGGGAGTTGCGGCTCCCCTCAACCCTTCCCCCTTCTTCACCATGCCACCAGGGTGGCTGCGGTCCCGATCAGGACCCTCCAGCAAGTGAGCTCGAGCAAAACTGTGCACGATCACGGATTTGCACCGACTCCGACGAGGAACAAACTGGAAGTCAATACTTTCCAAATTCTTTATAATACCCAGAATAAGGTCCTACAAAGTTGGGAAACTAAATGAGAATGTATTCATCATTTTCTGGATTGCTTCCACAGCTAAAGATTTGTGATAAGTGAGAGCAGAAATGAAATAACAGACTTTATATTCTGAAACACGTAACTGGCTTTTATTGAAGCAGATACTGCAGTATCGATCAACCTTTAACACATACTGGGGGATTTTTGTGGAAAGACCCACAACTTTCCTATAGGATTCTTCCAGTAAAAACCTCATATTTATACCCAAAAATAGTTATATAAACAGTTATAACACATCTTGTTTTCCAAATCAAAAATACATAGAATCCTATAGGAAAGTTGTGGGTCTTTCCACAAAAATCCCCCCACTTGACATTGGAAGATTATCGACATTCTTTATTCAGATTTATCTCCAGATTTTCTGTAATTCAAATACCAGAAGATTATAATAGGGTCATTAATTTCTCTTAATGTGACTATATAATGTCAAAGTGCCCTGGAACACATCTCTAACTTAAGCAAAGTACCTAGTTTTGCAATCTGGTATAATTGTCTAGCAAAAACACTTTTCATAACTGTTCTGAGCTTTTAAAAGTTCAGACTGAGAACACAAAATGGCTTCAGTTTGGCTCTTTATATTCTCAGGTGTAATAACCAAATTCCACCTTTAACAGATTGAAGAAAGAAAAAAAATCATTTGTCCTGTGTTAGACTATACTTGTCCATGGAGGCTCTATCAAAGATTGTCAAATGTTACTTTCTCCTCCCCCCTTTCACCCTGATTAGATGCCATGTTAAAGGGAAAAATGCAACTCAATAAACTTGACACATTCAGGATTTTAAGAGATAAAGCACACAGTCTTCGCTGACCAGCGGTGAGCCATGTCTGCAATGCCTGTTGTCTCAGGTAGATAATATACAAATCACTCTTGGGGGCAGCATAGCAAGAAAATGAGGATAGCTAGGAAGACAAAAGATTGCCTTCCCCTTTGCCCATACAAAACGTTTGATCTTAGGGGACTAGCAGGGCAGCCAAGAGGATTATTAAGTGATGGAACTAATATGGGCCACCTCGCCTACACAGTAAGTTAACATGACCCTCATAAAACATCTCCCCTCCCCCTCCCCACCACTTTATGGTATAACCCTATGCGTTATTCCCTGAAACGATGTAACTCCTAACCATCCGAGAGGCTCATTTTAAAAATTGGGGGTGGCCTGCCAGGGCAGCGAAGCAGATCAGGAAGTGGAAGTGGGTGGGTGAAGAAAGTACAGAGAAGCGGCTTTGGAGTCCGTGCAGCCCACAAGTAGATTTTTTTTTCCTGACTGTGAGAAGAATGATTCACTCTAGTCTATACAAAAGAAAGAAAAGTGATGCTTCCCTTGCCCGCCTGCCCTTTCCTCCTCCAGTTTATCCTCCTGCGTTTTAAAGCCACCTCTTGCCAGTTACCCTTTGGCATGACTGGTGCGCACAGATCCTCCCAACTAAGCTAACAGTGGCACCTCCTTTCTTTTGGCATGAAGGATTTCGACAGGGTGAGAAGTGGAAATTCAGGACAGAGTGAGGAGAATGAATGGGGAGAAGGGGAGAAAGAGTAGAGGAGGTGGAGAGGGGGGCGATCATTGCTGCCGCTGTTGCATGGGAAGGACACACCTTCCTTCCTTGCCATTTGGCCTCTGATGAGTTGATTTGATCCAGCTTTGGAGTGTTTTGCTCTGAGCCACCCCTGCCTGGGGGCGTCCAAGTTAACACACTGTCCTGCTGTTTTTCTTTTTAAAAATTTGGTTTTGTAAAAAAAATTTTTTTAAATTCCCCTTCATGGGCCCCATTTGAGCTCCGTGGGCCCTGGAACAATGTACCAGCTGCATCTCCCTCTCCTCAGGCCTGGGGACTAGAACAGCCTTCAAAGCAGAAAACAGAAGGAAAATTGCCATAACATTTTCCTGAAAAATTAGAGAAAGCATGTTGCAAACAACTGGTTAGGTGAGGCCAACAGCTTTTCTTTGACAACAGATACAAATATGGTTTCCCAATGCCTTCCTCCTAGGGCTAAGGGGGAGAAAATCTAGTCCAAAATTACCCAACCCCATGGCCAAAGCAGGATTTGAATTCACAGTTCTCCAGCTTTGTAGCTTGAGACCGTAAACATGAGATCAAATTGGTTCTCTATAAAGGTTTCCATCCCAGTCCTTGACTTCAAAGGAAAGGAAAACAAATTGAGCACACAGAGTATATAGCAATTAATCATCTCTTTGCAGTAGCAAGGAGTTTCAAAAATACATGCTGTAAATAAAATTTCATTCATTTGACAAGAATGCATTATTTAGGATAAATCCAAACTAAAATGCAAAGGAAAACACCGAAATTTTACACACACTCATACACACATACCAAAAACAGAATAAGAATTGAATGGGACAAAGATCTTTTGGTCCAATCCCCTTCTGAAAAATTGTTGTTCAATTTTCTCTTTAAAACCTCCAGTGATGAAGCACCCACAGCTTCTAGAGACAATCATCCCATTGATTAATTAGTCTCACAATCAGGATAATCTTCCTTAGTTCTAGATTTGTTTTTTCCCTGATTAATTTCCAGCTATTGCTCATTGTTCTGTCTTGCAGTACTTTTTTTTGTGAAGGAAAGAAGAGATAGGATGCCACTGTGCCCCTCCCTTCTCAGACAGAAATGATAAGCAGAAAAAAAATGGTTAAAAGGAACAGAAGAACCTCCCACCTTTCCTACTCAGATAGTTTCAAAGACAGTATGAGATTTGCATTACCTTGAACATGCTACCCAGCAGTTAATACAAACTACATCCCTTAGGTCTTTGACAGAAAGAAAGTAATCACACTCTTCTCACACAAAATAGAAGATCAAAGTTCTCATCTTTCATCCTGGCCAGGCATAAAACACATACACACACTTACTTACTTTTTCTTTCTTTCTGTCTGTCTGTCTGACCAGTTCTCCAGAACTGGTCATAACCTTCTGAATACCACCACTGGATTTGCCCTGGTTGCACTTCAGTTTGATAAAGAAAGTAGTATTTTTTGCAGAAAATAGAGCTGAAGAGTCAGAAGAGCTGCCTATCTTTTATTTAATATATTATGCTGCATAATGAAGAATAAAGGAGAAGCATATTTGAGCAGAGGTTTGCAGCAGCAGCTCCAGACTAATGACATCAGTTAATCAAATAATTTGATTCAGGGCATAATCATTGCTAAGTGGTAGCATTTGTGTTTTACAGATTAAAAGTCAAATTGCAGCCTCTGACATCTTCATATTGGCCTGAGAAAGTGTCTTGTTTGCAATCCCAGGGAGTTGCTGATAGTCACCATATCACATGTGGATTAATGGTCTAACTGAGCAATGGTGAGGCATAGTTCTCCTTGGGAATACCAGAATCTGTTCCATATTAGGATGTTAGGATATTGACTGAATTAAAATTGTAGCCATTAATTCATTGGATATTCATGAGTTATTAATCCAGACTTTACACTGGATAAATTATTATTATTAATCCAGACTTTACACTGGTGAACTTCAATCCCTCCTGAGATCTTCATTTTATTGAACTGTAATTTTGCCTGCAATTTACATATACTTGTAGCTTATGAGAGTCAAAAGGGGTATGAGAGACAAGGGAGCATTTTTATTTTATTTGAGATTTCCAGTTTGCCATTCACTTCTGAATTATGTTGTGTTGCAATGGTTCTCAACCTATGGATCTGTGGAGCACTGGGAAGCCATGATGTTCTCACAGGGAGTTTGTGAAGGCTTGAAGAAATGTTATGATTTAAATCTTGAATTAGATCTTGGGGGTCTGTGGTCATGGTATGTGGCCTCAAAGGGTATTTAAAGGGGGGGGGGGTCTGTGATGAAGAAAAGGTTGAGAACCACTGTGTATTGGAATGTGGAAAAATGTATTGACGATGGGCTATTGCTTAAAAATCATATTCTTTAGGACATCTGCTCTTCCCTCAGATTATCCATGCTCACTTGCACAATGTATCTGTTCTGCCCCTTAGGATAAGGATCTGCATAGGGCTGGAAGTGGGGAGAAATAAGAAAATTTGCATAGGAATGTTATCATGTAAATACTACAACTATTGTCAAAAGTTGGAATACAACAGAGTATTGGTGGCATTTGCATGATAAAGTCATCAGATCTATCATCATTCTGGTGCCATTTTGGTTTGTTATGAAAGCTGCTAGCTACTAGCTAGAAAAATAATAGTAATACAGTTTCTTGTTGCTGTATTAATGAAGTATTAATGTTGTATTTGTAAAGTGGGCCTCAACAAGGGATGTATGTGTGATTTAGAGTGCCTTATCAGTGCCAGTACAAATGCTAGAGGACAAATATTACTTTTGTAGCAACTGCCAAACTACTATGTCAGAACTGGATTAGAATGAAAAAGCAGTATTGACTTGAAAGAGATGGTGTAAAAAAATAAAATGGGTATTTTAGCATTTTTCTTCTGAAGGTTTGCTTATCCTTTTGCAGCAAGTATGGTATATGGTATTACGTATAGCTCATAATAGGTTTAATCTTCTGAATCTTCCTTCTCTGGAGAAAATGCATATTATACTTGTTATGTATTAGCATACTTACCTGTGATTGGTTGGTCCAAGGCGGCGGGAAACAGCCGTGAGCAGCCTGACTGTAAAAGGGCTGCCGTGGTTTCTTCTGCAGTTCAGTTCTAAGCAGAAATAAAGAAGACTGGTTACTACGCTGGCTCCAAGAATCTCATTCCCGCGATCTAACACTGGCAACGAGGGTGGGATCCTGAGACAAGGGGAACCAGCGAGCATGTGGCGACCGAGGAACGCTGGCGACATATTGAGATGAGATGGCTGGAACAAACACGCCACCCACACCGTTTGATCCAACAACCGAAGATTGGGAATTGTATGTCGATCAATTCCTCATGTTCCTCGAAGGGAATGACCTCATGAACATTCCAGAACACAGGAAGAGAGCCGTCTTCCTTACACACTGCAGTCCTGCCATATTCAAAATGGCCAAAGCGTTATCGGCGCCAACCGACATGAAGACAATGGCCTGGCCAGACCTAGAGAGGATCCTGAGGTCTCACTACACGCCGACCGTATCCTGCCTCATCAAACGACACGAATTCTACTGGCGAGACCAAAAAGAAGGCGAGAGCATCAGCGATTTCATCGCAATCCTGAGGGACATTGCCGGAGCGTGCGAATTCCTCAACATGGATGAGGCTATGAGAGATCGAGCAGTCTTGGGACTGAGAGACCTAACGCTGCAAGGCATACTACTAATGAAGCCCAAGATAACACTCAAAGAAGCAATAGAAGAGGCTACTGCAGCAGAAGCAACCCAGAAATTGGCAACCGCCATGCAGAAAATGAATAAAGCACCACCGGACTCATCAAAAAACATCACCACCACCCACCACGAGGACATCAAGTCTGAATCGGAAGACGAAGAGGAAGATGAGGGGGTAAATCAGCTCTGCTCAGAATGAGACATAAGGGGCTGAAATGGAAAAAGAAAAGAATTCTGCTGTGCCAGCTGCGAGGGGAACCATCCACATTCAGATGCCGTTTCCTAGACGCAATATGCCAATGTTGTGAATGGCGGGGACACACTGCATGGGTCTGCTGAGCATAGTTACGTCCCCCAGACAAAGACAGAACACACACCCCCGAGACTGGGAGAAACAAACAGGAAGCCATTGGAACCAAGCCACCAGAAACAGGCGAGGAAAAGAGGCCACCAATGGGGGAGATGAAACACACCAGACGGTGACCATCGGACACTCAAACACGACAAATGCTCGGAAGGTACATGTCTAGGTTACCATAGAGGCCAGCCTTGCCAGATGGAAGTGGACTCTGGCTCATACTTATCAATGGTATCCTGGGATACCATAAAAAGACTGATACCAGACATAAACTTAAAAGACAAATGCTGACGTTGAAAGACTACCAGGGAAACAAAATTCCTGTAGTGGGCACTGGACAGTTCAGAGTGGCATTCAAAAAATACACCAGAGTCCTGCCACTGACCTTAGTAGACCGGAACCGACCCAGTCTATTGGGACTCGAATGGTTTGAACCGTTGGGAATCGAAGTCACAGGAATAAATAGCATCACCGAGATGGATTGGGAGGAGACCCTGATGGAAGAATTCTGAGACGTATTTGATGGAGAGCTGGGCAAGTACTTGGGGTCCCCTTCTTCTTCTTCTTTTTCTTCAGCGTTTGTCTCGCGCTCTGGCGCTAATGTCCTTGAGTATTGCTTCCACGCCTTTCTGTCTGCCACATATGTCGGGTCTGCCTTCGCGATCTCTAGGTCGGCCTTGATCGTGTCCATCCAGCGTTGCTTAGGTCTACCACGCGGTCTCGCTCCTCCGACAGTCACCTTCATCGCAGATTTAATGATGGATTCTTCCTTGGCGCGACTCACATGGCCGAACCATCGTAGCCGGGACTGCCTCATGACCGTGGGGATGGGCACGACGTTGAACCGTCTACGCACTTCTTCGTTCCTGATGCGATCGAGTAGGGTGAGGCCTACCGACCATCGGAGCATTCGCATCTCCATTGTCTGGAGTCTGCTTTCGACTTCTTTGGTCGTCGGCCAGCACTCTGCGCCGTATATGGCCATGGGGCGCACCACAGAGTTATAGATTTTCGCCTTCAGGCGCATCGGCATCTTCTTGTCACAGAGGACGCCCGTGACGGACTTCCATTTGCCCCACGCTGCGTTGATCCTGGCTGCCACCTCAGTTTGTAGTAAGCCTTCTTCCCCAAGAGTAGTTCCCAGGTACTTGAAGGTGGAGGCGCGCGGTAGCTCCTGCCCGTTCACGTGGATGGAGCCTGTCGTTTCGTTGTCAGTGGTCAGGTATTCGGACTTCTTTAGGTTCAACCGGAGCCCGAACTGCTCGAGGCGGTCGTGCCACTGTTGGACTAGGTGCTCGAGTTCAGCCTTGCACAGGTTGGCCAGGAACACATCATCGGCGTAGAGCAGCGTCCATGGGGCGGGCGTGTACAGGTCATGTGTAATTGTGTCCATCACCAGAATGAACAGCAGTGGTGAGAGAGCAGAGCCCTGGTGTACGCCGACGGTGATATTGAACTCCTCTGATATCCCAGCTGCCGCTTTTACACGGCTTTTGTGACATCTGTATAGGAGTTGGGCCCATTGTACGAGCAGCTCGGGCACGCCGTGATCTCGCAGTGCGTACCAGATGAGATCGTGCGGGACTCGATCGAAGGCCTTTTCCAAGTCCAAGAAGGTGGTGTGGAGCGGGATTTTCTTCTCTCTGTGAGCCTCCATCAGCATCCGCACACCGAAAATGGCATCGGTGGTGCCGCAGTTCTTGATGAATCCGGCCTGGTTGACGCTGATGTCGACGATGTCCCGAATGCACTTATCGAGGACGCGTTCGAAGATCTTCATAGTGTGTGACAGTAACCTGACCGGTCTGTAGTTGGAGCAGTCCGCTGGGCTGCCCTTTCCCTTCCAGATCGGAACAGTGGTGCTGCGGTACCAGTCGTGTGGCACTTTTCCCGTGGAGACGATGTTGTTGAACAGCTCGCACAGCCACAATGCCGAGCCCGGTAGTGCCTTTTTCCAGAAGTCGGCAGGGATGTCGTCTGGTCCTGTTGCCTTACCGTTTTTCATGGCCTTGATGGCATCGGTGACCTCGCTGGCGTGAATGCCTGAGACTGGGCCTTCGACGGGGTCACCTCGCGGGGTTCGTGGGTGTGGGAACTCCTCGGTGGAGATCTTCTCGAAGTATTGCCGCCACCTCTCGGCAGCGTCTCTGGGGTTGACAATCAAATTTCCCCTTTCGTCGTTGATTCCATGAAGCTGGTCAATGTCCAGGGTCTTCCTGTGCCTGCTTTTGGCTAGGCGGTAGATCTCATTCTCGCCTTCTCGCGTGTTCAGCTTCTCGTAGATGTCGTCGTAGTGGGAGCTTCTGGCTGTCGCTACTGCTTTCTTGGCTGCCTTTTTGGCCGCCTTGTACTCACAGAGCTTCTCGCTGGTCTTGTCCTGAAGAAAGGCCTTGTAGAGCTGTTTCTTCAGGTGCACGGCATCTTGTACTTCCGGTGTCCAGAGCCATGTATCTCGTTCGATGCGTCTCCGTCCTGGCTTGGTACAACCAAGCTGTTGGCAGCCGGCAGTGTGAACAGTGCTCTTCAGCATGGACCACGCTTCCTGTGGCCCGTCGACCATCTGCAGGAACTGCTCCGGTTTGATGAGGGGTCCCGCCATCTTCTTCTGGTTCCACCACTTGATTCGTGGCTGGTCTGCATTCTTTTTATCAATCTTGGTCTTGGGCTTGCTGATCCTGATCTTCGCCATCAGCGGCCTGTGCTGACTGCTCGATTCGTACGGGTACACCTTGGCGTTGAGCATGTTTTTAGCAGCTCTTCGTCGTACGATGATGTAGTCGATCTGTGTGTGGTGGCTCCCATTTCTGCTATGGTAGGTGAGGAGTTGGGGTTCTCGCCTAATGAAGCAGCGTGTGAGAAAGCTATGGCGGCCGCGTCCGGGTCTGACGCACACGGAGACTACCCGATCCGTGTGAAAAATCGCAAGCGGGGAACAGAGGACTGCCAGACGCTCAAGGTGGCCACCTGGAACTTGGGGTCCCCAATTTCCTTTAACCTAAATCCAACCATAGCCCCTATAAGGTTAAAAGCGAGGCAGATTCCCTTCGTGCTCAAACCTAAGATCGATGAACAATTAGATAAACTCATTGCACAAGGGGTCCTAGAACCCACTGACCATGCAAAGTGGGAAATCCTGATTGTCATGCCAGTAAAACCAGACGGGTCTGTGTGAATCTGCGGAGACTACAAGGCAACCCTTAACCACGTGCTCCAACAAAGTGCATACCCTGTCCCAGTGGTACAGCATTTATTGGGAGGGGGGAAATCTTTGCAAAACTAGACCTTGCACAGGCCTACCAACAATTACTAGTAGACCCTGAGACAGCAGAAGCCCAGATGATCGTAATGCACAGGGGGGGGCATTCAAATGCAACAGATTACAATTTGGGATCAGCGTAGCCCCAGGGGCATTCCAGAGCTTAATGAAACATTTACTGCAAGGGATTAAAGAGGTGGTGCCATATTTTGATGATGTCCTTGTATCAGCGAAGGACAAAAGACAATTACATGACCACCTGAGGGAAGTTCTAATAAATTCAAGGAAGCGGGGCTAAAAGTGAAAAGGGAGAAGTGCCAATTAACCACCAGCAGGGTTGAATTTTTAGGATATCTAATAGGATATCTAATAGACAGTGAAGGAATTCACCCCACAGAGAGAAAGGTCAGAGCAATCAAGGAAGCCCCCAGACCCATGAATAAGACTGATCTGCAAGCTTTCTTAGGACTTATTAACTTTTATAACATATTTCTACCACAGAAAGAAATTATTCAGAACCACTACACAGGTTGCTTGATAAGAAAGCAGCCTGGTCCTGGGGGCAATGGGAAGAAATGGCATTCCAGGGAATAAAAAACCTGATCACATCAGACTGCATACTAATCCAATACAGCGAAACACTTCCAATAATCCTAACCTGCGATGCATCCCCTTTCGGCATCGGCACTATCCTCAGCCACGTATTACCTGACGGGAAAGAAGCACCCATAGCATTCTACTCAAAAACTCTGTCAAAACCGGAGCGGAACTACAGCCAACTAGACAAAGAGGTGTTGTCCACTGTCACCGGAATCAAGCATTTCCATGATTATATCTATGGGAGGAACGTCACCCTAGTCACGAATCACAAGCCACTCCTGGGCATCATTGCAGGAAACAAAGCTACACCAAACATAGTGTCACCCTGGGTGACAAGGTGGTCGGAATTCTTAGCTGCATACAACTACAACTTAATATACTGACCCGGAAAGGACATAAATCATGCAGACGCGCTCAGCCGTTGCCCCCTACCAGACATAGAAGAAGACCCAGCACCAACCACATATACCCTCCAAATAGAGACACTAGAAAACCTACCAATAACAGCAGCTGAGATCACAAGAGAAACGACTAGAGACAAAACCCTGGCGTAAATACTAAATTGGGTAGGAAAAGGTTGGCCAGAGACTGAGACCACTGAGAACGTCAAACCGTTCCAGAACAGATAAACAGAACTCTCAATACTTAAGGGGTGCGTACTATGGGGGATCGGGTGGTAATACCTGAAGTTTTAAAGGAAAGCATATAGAAATGCTATGTGAGGGACACCTGGGTATTGTAAAAATGAAATCCCTAGCAAGGAGTTATGTATGGTGGCCAGGGATGAACAAGGAAATAGGAGACTGGGTGGCAACTTGTAAACACTGCCAGGAATCTAAGCTGGCACACCCCACAGCACCAAAACACGAATGGGAAACGCCAAGGGGACCATGGTCAAGATTACACATTGACTTTGCAGGCCCAACCAAAGGATATACATTTTTAATAGTCGTAGATGCTTACTCCAAATGGCTAGAGGTAAGGATCATACAATTCACCATGGCAGAAGCCATCATTAGACAGCTCAAGAGGCTTTTGGCAGCACATGGGTTGCTGGATTTAATTGTATCCGACAATGGGCTACATTCACGGCAACACAATTCGAAGGATTTTTAGTACAAAATGGGATAAGGCATGCACAAACAGCACCAGGACACCCGTCGACGAACTGACGGGTGGAACGCATGGTACATTATACTAAGGAAACCGTAGAAAAGCTAGGGCCCGGGGACACACAAGAAAAGATACACAAACTACTAAGCATACAGCATATAACACGCATTGCCACAATGAATAAAAGCCCAGCCAAATTACTAATGGGGAGGAAACTGAGGTCATCCCAAGACAGACTACACCCCACATATAACCCAGAAAGACCGGTAGACTCCTCCAGTAAATGCTGTACATTCCAAACAGGGGACCTAGTATCTGCAAAAAAATCTTACAGGGGAACCCTTGTGGATACCGGCAAAAGTGACCCAAATAACCAGGACCTGTTCTTACAGGGTAGATACGACAGATGGCAGGAGCTGGAAGAGACACATAGACCAGCTCAGAACGAGAGCAACGAGGGGTGACACAGACAGGATCACGGAAGAGGGGGAGACCCCTCGCACAAACAAAACACAACCGGAGAGGAAGGGGGAGACCCTTCACACAGGCAAAACATAACCATAGGGGAGGGGGGAGACCCCTCACACAGACATAACACAACCAGGGAAGAGGGGGGAGACCCCTCAAACAGATACAACACAAGTAGAGAGGGAGGGGGAGACCCTCCATGAACAAGAACACTGATAGAACAAACCCTGACAACTAAAAACACACAACCCCCACTAATAAGAGTAGCCCCAGTCGGAGAGCGCAGGCACGTACCTGAAACTGCAGAAGAAGGTAGCATAGGGAGGCAGGAACAGGTCCAGAAAGACAGCAGGAAAGCGGCCCCTGGTGGGAGCAGCATAGGCAACTCAACCTTCCAGGAGGTTCCAAGGAGAAGGACGGGAGGAACAACAGATCTACCCAAACAATCCGGAGACCAAACTGCGACTGAGCTGCGCAGGTCCAGTTGCACCCATAGAAGCCCCGCCTACCTGTGTGATTATGTACAGTAGGCGAAGACAGGATTGGGTGGACTGGACCAAGTGGGGAGGGGTGTTATGTATTAGCATACTTACCTGTGATTGGTTGGTCCATGGCGGCGGGAAATTCTACTAGCCATCACTGGCCACAGCCGCGAGCAGCCTGACTGTAAAAGGGCTGCTGCGGTTTCTTCTGCATTTCAGATCTAAACAGAAATAAAGGAAACTGGTTACTACGTTGGCTCCAAGAGTCTCATTCCTGTGATCTAACAATACTGTACAAGTGTTTTGTGGGCTGTATAATTGCTGTATATACGCTTAGCAACTGCATCTCTGCAGAATCTGCATAATTGCCTTGTGGAGACAGAATATCAGGCTGCTTGGCTAAAACTGTATTGTGGGTTTGAGGAGTGAGCTTCACTAATGCAGTGAAATGTTAATATATCACACTTGGATTATTGACCTAAATTGAACAAAGCTTTGTCTCTTGCTAATAAGGTAATCAAATTATGATACATTATGATAAATTATGATACATGTCCCAGCCATGTATAATTTCACATCTCACATCCATTTGCTTCCTCCATTTGCTACTCCATAACTACTTTTGAGCAGAGCTTGATTTATAATGGACATAATATTTTATAGTATCCATAACAGAACAAATAGTCTGGACTGAAATTATCATCAGTCATGACCTGCTCTTTCATTTGGACAACATATCTTACTTATAAGAGCCAGTTATGGCACAAGGCTAGAGACCAGGAGAACAAGAGTTTTACTTTTGCCTTAGGGGGGAAAAAAGCCAAGTGACTTGGGCCAATTATAGGTAGTCCTAGACTTACAACAGTTTATTTAGTGACCATTCAAAGTTACAATTGCACTAAAAAAAGTGACTTAAAACTGTTTTTCACACTTACGTCTGTTGCAGCATCCCATGATCATGTGATCAAAATTCACACTTGGCAACTGACTCATATTTATGATGGTTGCACTGTCCCAGGGTCATGTCATCACCTTTTGTGACCTTCTTACCAGCAAAGTCAATGGGGAAGCCAGATTCACTTAACAACCGTGTTACTAATTTAACAACTGCAGTGATTCACTTAACAAGTGTAGCAAGAAAGTTCATAAAATAGGACAAAATTTACTTAAATGTTTCACTTAGCAACAAAAATTTTGGGCTCAATTGTGGTCATAAGTTGAGGACCACCTGTAGTCTCTCACACTCCATTGAAGAATGCAATGGCAAACCACTTCTGAAAATGCCAAGAAAATGCATTAGTACCAGCAGTTGACACTGAATTGACAGCACAAACACATCCCAACTTTAACTTAGGATCTCAACTAGCATATATGGAATTCCCCACTCTTGTCTTCCTGCACAACAGATATGTTGGGCTGAGAGAGTGGACCAAAGTGACTCAAGAAATTTCCATGGTTGATCATGAACTAGAATGTGGGTCTCCTCACTACCAGTCTGGGGGTATACCAGCATTCTCATCGACGCTGCGACGAGAGTCCAGGAATGGGTTAAGGTCCTCCTTCTGATGTCATCAAGCTGAGTCTGCCACTATAAAATGGCCCTGGCTGGCCTGCCCATCTTTTGGCTCAGTTTCTTGTCTAAGAGCTAGTCTCTGGAAGGATTGCTTTAACAGAGTTAAGAGAAGGTTTGAAAAGTAAAATACCAGCAGAGAATTTGCTGCAAAGATCAAAGCCAAAGCCCTAGCTCCCTGAAAGTCTTCAAAAGCTGAGCTTAGGGCTAAGAAGAGAAGGCATGTTGATCTTGAAAAACAGTTTGAAAAAAGGTTAGCACAAATGCAAGCCCAGATCAATCAAGACGCTCACTCTGGGGAGGTGCATATTAGCCCTGAGATTCCTTCTAAGCGAGGGGAATCTGCTTCCAGTCACATGTTAGCATGGTCCCCTGAGAGAGTGGAGGAAGAATCCCAGGATTTAAGCAGGTCAGGCCTTCCTTTACACAGGCTACATGGGGACCTGGCCCTTCCTTCCCGGGTGGTCAAGGGGTTCAGGGTGGATTCAGGCCTAGGCCTGAAGATCTCAGGGAAATAGTCATGGTAGCTATTAGACAGGGCCTAACAGAAGGATTCAAACATTTCCTTCACCCTCAAGGAGGGGGCCCAGCCTTGGTAACCCATGGGCTTCCACAAGGGGTCCCCCCAATATCAAAAGGGTGTGCCTAGACATCGCTTCTTCTCTCAGCCCACCCACTCGGAGTGGAGGGAGGAAGAGGAGGATACTTATTCCAAATCCTCTGACCATAGCCATTCTGGTCACTCGGAAGAGGAGGAAGGGGAACTTATAGATCCCAATATGTCTGAGGAGGAGGACCTCAGAATTGATCAGCCCCCCATTGCGGGAGTGTTTAAACTTTCATTATTGAAGCCCTTGTTACACAAGGCCTTGGTCACTGCGCAACTCAGTCCTGAGGAGGTGGCTCCTGAACCACAAGCATCCACTTCTGCCCACTCTGATTCCTTGTTTTCCAAGCCAGTGGTGCAGGCGGAGGTTCTCCCCTCCCCCTTCTCTTTCTTGATTTAGTAAAGGAACAATGCACCTCCCCAGGGGCGGGACCTCGCCCGTCTGCTCATGACAGATGATTCTACAATGTGGGACCATCCCTGGCCAGAGCCCTGGTCATGCCGTCAGTAGATGCTCCGGTGGTGGCTTCACCATCGCCGTTTATACAGCACTACCGCTCTGGACTCCTTTGCTTCAGCCCAGGCATCGTTTGGATGGAGGATACTTCAGCAGGTGGTTCCACAGTCAGAGTGACTGACCAGCCATGGGCCTTCCCATGGACATGAAGGCTTTGGTATGTCCCATTCCTGGATTCTCGTCACAATGTTGATCAGAATGGGCGTTGGTATAATTACCTGAGGATGCCCTTTCTATCTACAATGCAAGAGAGTCCAGCCCCACCCTGTACGTCTGGTCATGATGGTTGGGGAAGGGGGTATGTTAATTTCTTCTTTATCTTCCAGAGATACGTTATGTCTGTCAAGTATCTTCGCCTAAAAGATGGGCGAGCCAGCCAGGGGCTGGCGTTTTTATAGTGGCAGATTCAGCTTGATGACATCAGAAGGAGGACCTTAACCCATTCCTGGACTCTCTTGCAGCATAGATAGAAAGGGTGTTCTCAGGTAATTATACCAACACCCATTTCATTTCTCAGAAGACCTGCAAGCTAGATGGATTCTGTATTGAGATTTGAGTGTCTTTCCTTTTGATTGCAAGGCTGCTCTGTAGAAAATTACCCTACATAATATTTTATGCTCTCTGGGAGCAAAGGGTTGAAAATATTCGGTGCACATCAGTTTTTGATGCTGTTTTCAAATTATGTCTTGCATAAACCCTTTGGCTATTAATGAAATTCATATATTTCAAGGTATTTTTGTGAACCTTCTGGATTTTTCTTTTCTTTTCTAGAAAACTAAAGAATCAGTTATTGGAAGTGAAACGTAAAGGTGGACGGCATCACCAGCAAGATAACAGCAGGGTTTGCACTTGCTGTCAGAAAAATTTGGGCTTAATTTTTGACAGAGGTGACCACTGCCAAATATGTGGCCGGAGAGTTTGTAACAAATGTCATGTTTTAGGAACTGATGGCAATTGGAAGTGCACAGTGTGTGATAAAATTGCGTAAGTCTTGTTTTCTAATACCAGATTCATTTTCCTGATCTCTTACTTTTGTCAAAAAATATAATTATCAATAATAGGTAGGAATGATAGGAAGAGTAAAGACATTTGAGGCTTAATTTGTTGAACCAAGACATTCATCTGAGGTCAGCCTTTTCCTTGTTAACAGGGCACTGAAGTGAAAAATGTCCAGTGAGTTGCTAATAAACATTACCTTGCTTTAAGGACTCAAGAATTGTTGTGGGCGTGATGACTCAGAACCTCTTACAGACTGCAGTGGTAATACTGAGAATATTTGGTTATCTGTAAGAATACCTTGTACAATAGCATAATGGCTCCCGGCACCAGGAAAAAGGTCAAAGGAAAAGCAAAGCATGTCATGCATTCTTAGTGAATTTAGATGACATGTGAATGGTTGATCTCTAGAATAAAAAGCTTCGGAAAGTCTGGAGTGTGCAGAAATAAAATTATGTTTTGATGTTATCTATGTATTATTAGTATTATTGTATATTTTAATATAAAATAATGGAAACACTTTTAAATATTTTTAACAGAACATGAAGAGAATGACAAAAGAATTAGTAGAGCACATTATCAAAGATCAAGTCTCACTTATAACATACACACAAAAGAGATTCCCTGCAGGGAGGAGAAATTCTCCCTTATACTGCAGGAACAGACCTCAAATCTGGAAAAAACGCCAATGAATGCCAACTTTCTGAGCTTTTCAGAATGCTGGCATTCACCAGCATTGCCCCTCCCTGCTGGAAGGCTCAGAAGATCCAGGCTTAAGAACCCACACAGTCCCTTAAAGCTGCAACTGGAGAGATGGGATTGTGGACATTAAATGAAGCATTCAAGTGGCTCCTCATTCAGTGACCAAGATTTCAGGCCCTTATGTGGTCATATATGGAGGACTACATTTAAACTGCATTCACCCCCTGCTCCCTGTTTTGTACGCAGTTGGGTTGTATCCAGTTCAATTTTGCGAAGCAATAACTGTCAATGCAAACGAGGCATCTGTCTTTGAAGTGGGAAAGAATCTGTATCCTTGGAAAAGCTCTTGTGACTTCTTCCAAGTATGCCCTTACAGGTGTACATCCATACATGTACAGGGCACTTCCAAATAAATGTTTCTTCATGCACATGCAGAGAATTAGGGATACTTTCCAAAGCAGCTGCTTCATTGTTTTGAGGAAGAAACATTTCAGGAATTAACAGAAGGTGAAGTGTCCCTTTCAGAGGTTTTGCACAGTCCTAAAATGCTAGCTTAGTCAAATAAACTCCCTCCATTTAGTATAAGCAATAGCAGGTTAAGTGAAGGTAATACCAAAGTTTAAATATCACAATGATTCTGGATATTTTTATCCTACAGCTATAAAAGGTTTCTAGATTGAGATCTTTATTAAGTCTGCTTTGTTTATTGCTACAAATAAACAGCTTAAGGTTTTATTTTTACTTTGTATGCAAACAAATTGAAATGCTGGCTTTTCACACGTCTCTCCCTATTTACTAAATAAACTTAATAAATAAATATTAGAGAGTTTCCTTGTTCCATAAAAATACATGAGAGTAGGCTTGGATTGATTAGTCATTATTCAGGAATATATATTACATGCTTTATAGTAAGCATAGTCACAAATATTAATCTCCCTATAGTGTTTTCTTGGAAGGATCCTTCTTAAATCAAGAGTGGCCAATTGATTATTTCAGGGTAGTCATCTACCAGAGGCTGATAAAGTCAACATGATGACTCTGACCACAACTCACTGCTTTTTATTTTCTTGGGTCACTTGTGATTCTTGGTCTAATTCCAAAAACTCACTGCAAGGAATCAGATCTCTCTGGAAAGATCTCCTTTCTTTTACAGCCTGGTGCATGGGAGGGAGGGAAGGTTTTAAAAGAAAAAAATGTCACCCATTCATTAGCTGATTTGCAGCAATCATTTTGGGGGCGGATTTCCCACTTCTACTCAGAGAATAATTTCCAGCTTCATGAGAATCTTTTAATAACATTGTATGATGAGTTTTACAAGAATCCTGAATGGAACAGTTTAATTTTAATGAATTTATTTGGCTACTTGTTCAGACTAACAGGACCCCTTGCAATCACAAATTTGATTAACCACTTCATCTTAATTTAGCTTAAATAACTCATTAGTTTGCAAATGGGTGTGGATCCTTCTGGAACTGTTGAAAGATTGTGTTTCAATAGTTCCAAAAAGGCTCCAAACCAATTTGAACCACTCAAGTGACCCTGATGGACACAGATAATCCTCCAGGTATCCTTAACTACCTGGTAAAAGAATGCAAATGACTAGCTATTTGCAAGGAGTATAAATCCTTCCATTCCCCACCATCCAGTCAGAGCTGAAGAAGCTTCTTGGATGAGAAGTGAAATGTTTTCAAAGAAAAACCAGAAAGTCCAGTTGCCTCTTGAAAAAAAAAAAAAGCACCTTTGGGACAACCATGACTTGAATGACTGAGAATCTCCATAAACATTCAGCAAAAATTTTCTTGGTATGAGCATGAGGCTGTTAGGTTAAAGATGTAGAGCTAAACTTTTTTTTATATTTATATTTATGTTGATCTCTTTCCAATCTTAAGGATTATACTTTTTGGAAGCCTAGCAGAGGGGAATCATTGGATGAAATATTGTTAGAATAAAGAACTAAAGTGTTAAGCTTTCAATCTTTGTCAAGTGCAAAGGATGAGGACCATATGTTAAGTTGCAGCACAGAAGATTTATTGAAGCCAATAAACAAGAATCTAGTCAACTAGCAGTCAGTACTAAAAAGGATCAAAGGAATTCAGGGGGGGGGGACTAGACTTGGATCTTTGGTAGCAGTATAAAGACTAGAAAATGACAACATGTTTAAGTCAGCCCCCAACTCCGCCTACTCTTCTACATCTTTTCCTTTATTTATTCTAAGTTTTAATTGCATATAATTTGCATATAATTAACAGGTATTAATGACCTCTTGAAACATTGTAGCTTAGTGTAATGGTTGGCACACATTTTTGGTGTATTGTTTTGAAAAATTGGAATTTTTTTTGTTTTAGTAATTTCTAAAACAATACTTACAAATGGGTGAGATAACCAGAGGACTAAGTGGCTATCCTAACAGTGAGAACAATTAACCAGGCTTGGCTTCAGAAGTTGTGGGTGCTCCATCACTAGAGGCTTTTAAGAAGAGACTAGACAGTAACTTCTCTGAAATGGTATAGGATCTCCTGTTTGAGCAGGGGGCTGGACTAGGTCTAGGAGACTTCCAAAGTCCCTTCAAACTCTGTTATTCTGTTAATGGCAACTAATGGTTACAGTGACTTCACTGTTTTCTTTTTTAATACAGGCAGCTTAGGGTAGTAACAGGTGAATGGTTCTTTGAAGAGAGAGCAAAACGCTTCAAGCAGTCCAAGCTCCTTGGAACTGATATTGTTCGGCAGTCTATTCTTTGCAAAGCTCCAGGTAAAAAACAGGAAAGCAAAGTATGTACTTCCAAATAAACATATGGGGGATTTGCTGAGCTACAGGCTCCCAACAGCTCCAGCTTGTATGGCAGTGGGAAATTGTATATGGGGAGAATAGTTGAGCAACTTTGGAGGACCACAGCTGCCCCAAACTGTTTATTGCAACATAATTAATTGAGAGAGTTCTAAATATATTATCAGTACAATACACTACAATGAATGCTAGTCTCTTATCCCATCAGTTTATTGGTAAAAATAAGATGCTTCAAGCCAAATGCTGTATAACATTGCAAATGTAGACCTGGGAAGGTATTTATGACATTTTGGAAAACTGTTGCCAGTCAAAGCAAATTATATAGTCAGGCTTAATATAGAATAAGCTAATTTTCTATATTGCATGGTAAGACACTTGATGTCATTTACACAGGAAAATTTCACCAAAGACAGTATACTTTATAAGGTTATCCATACAATATAGTTTCTTATATACATTGCAGTATCCTTACCCAATCTGATGTGTTGAAGATGTGTTGGACTATAATTCCCAACTGGAATTGGCTGGGGATTCTGCAAGGTGTAATTCTAATGTATCTGGAAGGCATCAGATTGAGTAGGGCTGCATTAGAGCTATTGGTACCAAAAATAGATATTTATCAATAATTATATTCTTCCTGCGTTACATGAAATTTGCTTAACTGCTCTTTGATTTCTGATAAACTTTTGAGTCCAGCACAACATACTTGTTAATAATGTTTAAAGCTTAAATAGCTTGGGATTAATATTATGAAAAAATATATCCTATTATATATTCCTACCTACTCTCTGCTTCTTTCTGTCCTTCTATTGATAGACAATAGGTGTATAGGTGAAAGGATTTTATGGGGAATAGATCAGTACCTAAACTCTATAGCTCTCTTTTCTTGCAATTATCCCACCAGCACCCCCTCATTTATGTTAGTTGGTCAAAGTATTGCAGCATATATAAAACAGAAACATGGTATATACCTATCTCTGTACCTAATAAAAACATATCGAATTGTGAATGTTCTTACCTTCAGTGGTCCCAGCTTATTCAGTGAATATATAACATTTGTGAAATAACTGACTTAATATTTTTCTTCAGCTTGTAGGCATTTTGTTAACATAATATGTTTCTTTCATTTTAAGATTCTTCCCCTGAATTCTTGGAAGGCAGATCCAAAGATCATTCTCCAAAAACCTTAGAGGATACACCAAAGCAAAATATATTCACTTCATTTACAAGTGGGACAAAATTAGTTCTCACTAGGCCCAGGAAAATAGGGTAAAGTATCCTTTCATCAAATGGTAAAATATCCCTATATTTCCAAAATACAAAGTATTTTTTTATTATGAATGAAAAATTGTTACAAAATCTTAAGTATGGTTCAGTTATAAGCATTTAAAACTTTTCCATAAAAAATTATAGCCATCTTAATTTTATTTACATGATTGAAAGTAAAATTTTACTTAAAAAGGGATTTCAGTAACATAAACACTTTTTCTCATCTAGTATTTCTCACTTTTCTCATATAAACTCTTCAGTTTACAAATAGTTTCTTCCAATTGGCTGATACACAAGTTTTGAAGTTGACTCTGGAAAAAATATTGACTTTGGAAAATATTAATCTTATTCTTCCATGTTGGCAATAATGGTCTTACTTATACTGAGATAACTGCAATTAAATCTTGAAATCATAGATAGCAAGAAAAATTAACTATGAGAGCAGAAATATAGATACTTTAAGAAGCTGTAAAGAAAATGGATCTTGGGATATTTTGTGCACTTATGATCTTTCACTCAATATTATATTAAGAGTTTGAGTAAAGCATTTATACTATACAGAAAAAAATATAATGTATATAATCTCCAACTTAGTACTGATCAGAAATTCAGTGGGATTTTTAATCTAATTATTTTGGAGGACATCAGACTGGGAAAGGCTACAAAAGTGTATAGATCATTATTGATTTAAGAACAAGCAAAGAAATATATAAATAATAGTACTGCATTTTGCTTTACCACCATATTGTTTATATTTATATCTATGTTCAACAGAAAGGTTCTTAAGGCAGTTACTAAAGAAGCTGGAAATATGAAAGCAGAAGATGGTAAAAGCATTAGCACAGACTCTGATGTACAATGTGATCACAGTGCCAGCCAGTAAGATAAAATAGTAACATTAATGTTTCATCTGTTGTTTAGAATTAATACAATTATTGTAAATTTTGTTAAAATTAAAAACATACAGTAATCAAGAGGAAATTAAAGTAGGGAAATCCAAATGCAGAAGTTCACAGTATAATCATCATAAAAGAAATAAAAATCTCAAAGTAACATTAATTTGGTTTTATGTAACAAAGTCTCTTATGTCAGTTTAAGACTTTAGAGCAGGGGTGTCAAACAAGGCCTGTGGGCTGGATGCGGCCCATGAGGTGCTTAGATCTGGCCCACAGGGCCACCCTGGAAACAACGAAGGACTGGCCCACAGTGTTTCTGTCAGAAAAAATGGAGTTTGGGAGGGCCGCACCCTCCCGAGCTCCGTTTTTGCTGGCAGAGGTTGCAGGAGCTATCGCAGTCGAAAATAGAGCTCGGGAGCCATTTTCGCTGGCAGAGCACTTGGGCCAACACAGGTGCCCTGACACGAGTGGCGTTGAGCTGGCCATGCCCACACTGGCCACTCCCACCCTGGCCCCCTGAGGTCAAACACAACCTTGATGTGGCCCTCAATGTTTGACCCCCCTGCTTTAGAGCATAGAATTAGAAGAATTTTCTGCTTACATCACTAGATTTCTGGTGAGCTACATATGCAGAATTCCAGTCATTTAATCCCTTTATCTTCTCACATGCAGTCCAAGGCCTTTTGAGAATTTTCCTCCTCTTTACAGAGTAGATTTCAGTGGTACTTCAGACATTAGTAAAAAAACAACAACAACTCTGAAAATTCCATTTCACATGCGGAGTGTGGCCATTGGATATAACCTGTAATCAGGGATGGGATGCTACCGGTTTTGCCTGGCTCTATAGAATCGGTAGCTCTGAAGAGCAGCAGACACAGAACCGGTTCTGTGTCTGCTGCTGTTTGGCCCACCCACCCTCCCGGGCTGTTACCTGACCTTGATTTCCTGCTTTTCAACTTTTGCGCAGCACAACTGAGGTTGAAAAAGCAGTAAAAAAGTGGTTTTTCAAACGTTGTGCACCCGCGCACAGCACTTATCAGCTGTCCAGGAGGCACAGCTGAAGGTGTAGTACACGCGCACACAGTGTGCGCAAAATGTAATCACTGAACTGGTAGTAACACCAGTTGAATCCCACCCCTGCCTGTAATGTATTATAGTCCATAAGCCAAAGGCAAGGAAATAAGGGAGGCAACTCATTAATAAATTCAACATTTCCTTTTATCTACATATCTAACATACTTGTAAAAGGCAAGTCAGAAAACAGGTAGGGGAAAGGTAAAAATGAGTTGCCAGATTGTATCACTACTTTAGCTATTTCTCTTACAGTTTTTCAATGTTGGAAAGAATCACAACACTAACTATTCTGTTTTTCATAATAGCTAATCAAAATATAAAAGAACAGGGTGGCCACACAAATGTGCAATCCCAACATTTTTTGTACCATAAAGAGAAAGATTTAGAGAATAAAATGACATTTTAGTTAAAAATATCAGTTAAGATCAGGTGTGGGCTTCAAAATTTTTAGCAAAGGGTTTTCTGTTTGGTTGCTGGGTGGGTGTGGCCATGGTGGGCATGGCCTAGTCAGCCTCCTGCACTATGGCGGGGGGGGGGGATTTTTGCTTTCCCTGCATTCCGGACGCTTTCCTCGAGTCTCCGGGAAGGCGAAAACGGCCTCCCCGAGCTCCGGAGGCTCTCTGGAAGCTGGAAACAGGCCCATTTCTGGGCTTTCTGAACTTCTGGGAGGTCCATTTTTCACCCTCCCTGAGCCTCCGTGTGTGCCCTGCATCGAAAACCGGCCGCATGGGGACTCCTGGGAGGGCTGGGTGGGGCCAGCCAGGAGTGGGATTTGGAGAAACGAACCCTCATCAGCCCACCCCTGTTTAAGATGAAAAAACTTTTACATTTTATAGTGTTTTACTCTTATTGTATATATTTTGTTGCATTGTTTTGTTCTTTTTAACATTGAAAGCTGCAAGCAGAATCACCTTGTGTGGTTGAGCTGGGTGGGAAATAAATGTAATAAATAAATAAACATAAAGCAAAGGTATCATTCTCTTTCTATTACATTAGTTTCCTGTGCAATGAAAATGATATTTTTAAAGTATCAGCTTACAAAATCCAAGTATAGAATCATATTAATATACAGGCCTGTGTTAATTATTGAGTAAAAGAACAGTGGACAAATTTCTGTGAAATGTCACAAGAATCCAAACTGGGCATGAACTGTAAAGCAGATCAAGTTGTGAATCATTTGTTTGACTAAATTGGGCACATTGGGACATTTGTCCTCCTGGTGAAAAGACAGATAGAGGTATTTGGAGCAGCTAAATAGCATATGACTAAGGTTTCGGATTCTTTGGAATGTGACTGTTGCGGGCAATTCCACAAGCAGTGTCAGAACAACTTAGCCCACATACTAAACTACTACATAATGGATTATATCCAAAGTCTGTTAATCAGCTATAATAAATGCTAGATGTTTATATGGGAGAAATGGAAAAATGTAATGGCATTGCCATAGTTTAGGTCCATTTGCATCACTGACAGAGTAGTGAAAATGAATATAAAATGTTGGGCAAGAAGAAATCAATAAAGAATGTTGAATACCTTCCTGATTGAAGAAACCAATAAACATTATGAAGCATCTTCTTTAATTAAGCTTTTTGTAAATATATATCGTCTTCTCTCAAGAAGCAATTAAATTGATTTGTATTTTAAAACTTTTGAAGGCAGTAACTTCTTGCTAAAGTAGAAGGTAGGTATTCAACTGATCCTAGACAATTCCCTGACAAAATTACCTATTAGAACCCACTGAATAGCTAAGTTTAAAAGCTAAAAATTAGAATGGTTTTGTAACTTTCCCAATCCCTGATCACCACCATACTAAGGCACTCCCAGAAAGTCACCCAGAACTCCCAAGATTTTTTACAAGTGTCAATTATGTGACTTTAGAAACTTGTTTTTATTTATTTCAATTTAATTTAATTTTTATTTTTTGCCTAACCATGGATACTGCACTTTGAAACATATGTAAGATGCTAGATTGCAAATTTTAATGAGCTTGTTCTCTTTTATTTTAGATATAAGTAGATCAGCAAAATGGTATTAGGACTGCTATCCAGGTGGTGGAATATTAAAATGTCCTTATACTACTAAAGTATTTGCCTGAGATTTGTATTACTGATGGAACATCATTTCTTTTTTAAAAAAATTTATTATATTTTTTTTAAAAATATACAATCCATATTGTATATTTTGAACGAGTTGGTTCTGGGTATCATTCATATTAATCCAATTCACAATAACAGTATTAGTAACCTATCACATTATCAAATTTAAGTAATCCTCCTTATATTGTTCAAACATAAACAAAAAATGCCTAACTCCTCATCTTTGTTTTTATCTTCATCTATATCTTTCTTGTTCAATCTAAACATTTCTCTATTATATATGAACAAATTTGACTAGGTATCACTCATATTGATCCAATTCACACTAACATTGTTAATCTCTATCACATTTATCACATTTATGTAATCCTCATTATGTTATTTAAACATACATAAAAGAAAAATGCCCAACTTCTGTAAACTTCTAATCTTTGTATTATTTTTATTCAATCTATAAAAACTTATGTTCTAATATTTCCCCTATCTAATTTTATTTCTGCCTCCTTCAGCTTACAATCGGGCTACTTTAATATTTAAAGGGCATTTTTTTTCTATCCATCATCTCTTATCTTCTTTAGTGCTTCAATTCTTATCCATTTTTTAATTCACCACCCCCACTTCTAACCTTTTTTCTATCTTCACCTCTATCTTTTTTGTTCAATCTAAACATTTCTCCCAGTGCAGTCTTGTACTACCAATTCTCCCAGATGTCTGCCTGTGTCTCAATCTCCTTATCAAAGGTGTCTTCCTGTCTCTCCAATTGTCGATTTGTCTGTTTTATTTTCTTCTATCTTTCTTCCTTTGTCAGCTGATTTGTCAATTCTATTTTTTGCTCCAGTCCTTGGTTTATTTGTTGATGTGGCCAATCCATCTGTTCTTTCCACTCCTTTTGCTTACCATTTATCTGGTCTTCCTCTTTGTTGAGCTGTTGCTTCCTTTGATGAATTTTCTGATCCATATTTTTTCTCTGTTCATGTTCCATTTGCTGGCTTGAATTTCCATTTCATCCAATCTTTCTGTTGCTTCCACCAGTTCATGGACAGTTCATCTTTATTCCTTGCTCTTTGCAAAATGTTTTCCATTTTCTGGTCCATACTATCGATTAAGTTCATAATATTTTGAAGCAAGAAGGTCATCTCAGTAAGAAATCCTCTCATTTCCATTGCTGTTCCTTCAACTCCAATCATAATAGTGATGAAAGTAGAATAAACAATCATGCCTCAATCGGGTTCAGAGAGTCCAAAATCATAGAAGTATGGTTTATTTTCCAATTGTTAGTAAATGGGGCTCTCGTCTCAAATTTCCATACTGCCTTTTTTCCAGCAGGTATTTGTTTCACTCAATCTCCATTTTTTTTCAAAACAAGGTCAATTGTTTAAATGAGCCAATTCCAGCATTTACTCAATACTCTGATAATCCAAGGTATTTTCCAAGTTCTTTAAGTCTACTCTTTTATTTTAGCTTCCCAGCATCTCTTTTATAAAATGTATTTCTTATTTCTGCCTCTGGTAAGCATAAGGCAATAAACAGTTAAAAATCACAGCCACCCAATATCAAGTATTTCCTCCTCTGTAAATTTCAAGGAGTCACTTTTTCTTTCATCAATAGATGGCACACTCAACTTACTTTTCAGCATAAATCTCTTTAAAAATATTTTCTTCCACTGCTTAAACAGTTATATTTTAGTGTCTCTTTTCTAGGATTGTTTACTTTCTTGGGGTAATTTTTAAAAATTAAAAATTGCATCTCACCCAGCAACAATCTCTGTTCACTGTTCTCTTCGTTCCTGCACTATCTTAGGTGTTCTGGCTGTCCCCAGCTTCATGGCAGCCATGTTGACTGCTGCTGTTCCTTGTCTTTGGATGAGGGAGGTTTTCCAAGTCAGGGAGAGAGATGCTGCTCTCCTCAACCTGCAAGGTGCCCCCCTTTACTTCACCACCCCTACAGGGTGGCTATGGCTCTTGTCGGAGCCCTCTGACGGGGAGAGCTCAGAGTGGGGCTGCAGTGCTTGCAGTCCTCACCTCCGATGGTTCCAGAAGCACAGCCGGAAATCCATCAGTTTTTGATATGTAGTTTCTCCTTTTTTATTTATGCTGTATCAACATAAATTAGAAGGTTAATTTAGTGCAATTTCTCCAGGGGGAACACCTTTCCCTTAGATAGCCATCTTCTTGGAGACATAACTGGCAATATGAAAAATGTTGAAAGCCAAAGCAATGCTTCTACTCTACTCTACCCAAGGTCACCAGCACTGAGTGCATGCAGCATGACTATTGACTACAGCAGGGTAAGTTGACTGGTGCAAAAATGGATTGGTTTGAGAAATAATTGCTTCCTAGTGGCAAATCTAGAATCTGGGATTATTTGTTTTGCTCCAGTCTTTTCAGTTTTGGACAAAGACATAGTGGAGAAAGCAAATTGAGATTAGCTTGCTAGTCTTAATATATTTGTATATGTTCCTAAGATTGATTCTGGTTTATTTCTTATGTTCAACAAATCATGCTTAAAGTAAATTCCAGGTAATAATCATGTTTGAACAAATAATGAAAAATTATTGGCTTGAACTTGGGTGGGGGTTTACTTCTTAGACTGTAACTAGTGTGTTTTCATATGTTAGTTTTCTTATATGTGTGACACATGAAATATGTTGTTTTATGTGAGCAGGATTCTGAATTAAAAAACAACATTGTTATGCCTATCAGTGAAAGTATCCCTGCAGATTTATCAAAAAGGCATTGTAGGAAGAGTTCTAGAACACCTTCTGTGGCAATTTCTAGGACATCTTTTACATCTGGTGAGCTTTCAGTTACTGATACTGTGATGTACTTTTGAATTGCTATTACTATCTCCTTCATTGTTTAGCTTGTTTTTCCCTCCCATATTTTTTCCCCCTGGGGAATGTTTGTTTGTTTGTTTGTTAGAATTGCTAAGAATTAGCCTTCTACCAGGTCAGGCAATTTTTGTCAGTCCAGATCAGAGATGCAGAACTTCAATTTAGGATTATATTGACAGATGCAATTTGGATGAGGTCAGGTAGGGAGTTTACATGGGATTTTTTTGTCAGGTAGTCACAGGAGTGAAATATTCCTGCAAACTTTACTGCGAAAAAGAAAGAGACAGAAAGACCATATTTTTGGCTTACCTACTATGTTGTGATTGCAGAAACCATCAAAGGATAATGACCAGTTATACTTTTTGTAATTCTGATCTGGATCCTAGTGCAGTATTGTTTATTTGATAGATCATCTGATGCCTGATTCTTTTATAATTGAATATGAAGAGGGCTGTGTGGGACCTTCTGCATAAAAATGCACACTTTATTGTAGAACTGTGGTTCTTCCCCTTTAATGAAGAAATATCTTAAATCAGTGTCTGTCATAATTATTCTTAAAACAAAGGTGAGGTGGTTTTTGTATAAACATCTGTAAATTTTAGCTTTTGCTGATCATTTTTTCCTAAATTTTATTCAACACATTTATGTGCATAACAATTGGATGAAAGATAGGCCTTTACAGTTGGTTCACTTACTAACAATAGACTAGATAGAAGTATTAGAGACTCAGCTTGCATAAAATACATTGTCCTTCTACCTGTTTGATTTTCCAAAGACTGAAAAAAAGGAAATCACCATTGAATTTCTTCCTGTAATTTATTTATTTTTGTTCTTGAATTTTATCTTTTCGATAGGTTTCAGGTAAAGATGAAATTGATGGATAAAAACGAAACATTGTGGAAAAATACATAAATAGTCCATCACATACAAATAAATTAAAAGATACTACAATATCTTCTGTCTATGGAGATTCTCAGTCATCCAATCACGTTGTCTCAAAGGTAATTTTTCAAGAGGCAACTGGTTTTTCTATGAAGATGTTTCACTTTTCATCCAAGAAGTTCTGACTGGATGATGGGGGAAATCCTTCCATTCCCCACTATCCAGTCAGAGCTGAAGAATTTTCTTGGATGAGAAGCAAAACGGTCTTCAAAGAAAAACAAGAAAGTCCAGTTATCTCTTGATAAAGCACCTTTGGTACAATATCTTCTATATAGATTGCTAATACATGGCTTTATATTTTGCAGATCGCAGTAGATCAGAGAGAGATCTCAGTGGATCCTTTTCAGAAGGAAATGATACTTTAAGCTTAAGAAGTAAATCTGTACCTGGAGCACTGGACCATGATGTGGTGAGCTGGAAAGATACAAAGCTTACAAATTAGAGTATTTTGACTCTTTTTTGTTTTATCAGTAATAATAAATTTCTCATTTGGCTAATTCCAGTAATTTTATATATATGTCACAATTTATATCAAAAGTACATATATAATAAAAATAATAAAAATGTAGTGGGTATAAATGAAGATAACTACAAATGTACTCTTGCAAGAACTTTGTATAACAGTTAGACTGAAATATCATGAGTGGCCCTGAACATCCAATTACAAGGAAGATTGCATTTCCTCATTTAATTTAGATGCAGAATAAAGCAGGATGACATAGTCTGATTCTGCTGAAATCTCTCAAACTTCAGCCCTTGGCCCAACCAGATATCTCAGCCAAGCACAACTGTCAACACCTGCTTTATCTTTTGAAGTGGCAGTTAGCAGCTGCCTAACAGAACACAGTTTAATACAGAATTTTAATACAGAATGGAACTCAATCACTGGCAGCTGCTCCATGTCTAACAACCACAAGAGCAGTTGTGTGGGCTTTCAGTTTTTGCAGACAGAAAGTAGCATTTCTCTTCACTTTTCCATCTTTGCAGAGTTTCAGCTTGGTTTATGAAAGGATCAGCCACACTATGGGACAGTCAGGGGTGGGATTCAAATTTTTAACAACTGGTTCTGTGGGCGTGGCTTAATTTGTGGGTGTGGCTTGGTGGTCACATGACTGGGTGGGCATGGTTTCGTGGTCACATGATGGTAGGCATGGCTTGGTGATCGTGTGACTGGGTGGGTGTGGCCGGGTGGCCATGTGACTGGCAAATCAAATACAAGTGGTCCTCGCTTAATGGCTGGTTGCTTAGCAAGTGTTCTAATTTATGACTGACCTCCCCAGAGCTACTTGACCTGTTTTTGAAGTTTTGACAGCCATGCACACACACGCTCACACACACACACACACACACACACACACACACAAAAACAGACTCCCTTCTAACCCTGCTATTCTATGATTCTGTAAGGATCTCCTGCTGGAGCAGGGGTTTGGACTAGAAGATGACCTCCGAGATCCCTTCCAGGCCAGCCCTAGATTGCTGTGCTATTTTAAAGATTCTTCTGAAGCCAGGTTTGTGTCCTTCCTTCCTCTCCTTTATTCTCTCTCTCTCTCCCTCCCTCCCTCCCTCCCTTCTTCCTTTTCTCTCTCCTCCCTTATCTACCTATCCCTATATCTCATTCAGTTTCTCCTCCCTCCATCTCTTTCTTTCTTTCTTTCTTTCTTTCTTTCTTTCTTTCTTTCTTTCT